TTATTTTAAGTCCTTTGGGTATAAACCAAGGAGTGGGATAGCTGGGTCAACTGGTGATTCCATTCCAAGTTTTCTGAGGCATCTCCATAGTACTTTCCAGAGTGATTGCACCAATTTGCAGTCCTACTGGCAATGCGTACGTGTATCTCCCCCTCTCGCCTTCATCCTCACCAACATTTCTTGTTACTTGTCTTCTTGATGGTTGCCATTCTGACAGGAGTGAGATGGGATCTCAAGGTAGTTTTAATTTTATTTTCTGTAACTGCTAGAAATGTTGAATTTTTCTTTCCCTTTATTTGTTGACCAATGGTATTTCTTCTTCCGTGAAGTGCCTGTTCATTTCCTTTGCCTACTTATTAATTGGGTTATTTGGATTTTTTGGTGTCAAGTTTTTCAATTCGTAATAGCTAAACTACAGAACCAGCCTAGATGTCCTTCAAAAGACAAATGGATGAAGGAAATGCGGTATATATAAACAGTGGACTATTACTAGCCATAAAGTAGAATGAAATTAAGGTAGTTGGCAATAAATGAATTAAACTAAAGAGCATCATACTAAATGAAATAAGCCAGTCCAAAAAAAAACACAGGCTGAATGTTCTCTCTGATAAGTGGATGGTAACTCACAATAAGGGGTAGGAATTAGGGAAGAATTAATGTAGTTTGGATTAGACAAAGGGGAATGAAGGAAGGAGAGGGGGAAAGGGAATAGGAAAGATAGTAAAATGAATCAGCCATTACTTTCCTATATGCATATATGAATACACAACCAATGTAATTCTACATCATATACAACCAGAAGAATGGTAAGTTATACTCCATGTATGTAAAATGTGTCAAAATGCATTCTTCTATCATGCGTAACTAATAAGAACAAATAAAAACAAACAAAACAAATATGATATACAAACCTTATAAGGGATGAGTTTATAAGTAGAAAACAAAAGAAAGAGTCAAAAGTTAGAATACACACAACAGCTTGTTATAACCTTAGGCATTATATTATAAATGATTTCAAGAAACATGGACTCCTTCATCTAGATTTATATACAATCATCTCTTTATTATGGGGAGACAAGACTATTCAAGCATCTTACTTCTCTTCCTTTACCTGATGCTTCCGAGTCTATTGGTTCATTCGTGAGAGGCTAGAATTCCCATGAACAATGAAGTGGATGGAGAGAGAGAGAGTTTCTGTTTCTAGAAAGGAGCTTTGGATGATAGCTAGGAAGTCATGGATGAGTTAAAGATGCAGATTCACCCAAGGCCAAGAATGCTGTTTCTCAGGACCTCTCACATAGCCTCAGGGCCTCCTACAAGGCATTACAAGGGGCCCAAGCACCCTGTTTTTCATCAAATGTTTTTGAAAATTTGGTAAAAGTAAGTAATTTAAATCTCCACCAGTGAAGCATTGTCTCTTTCTACTAAAACTCCCCCACCACACTAAAAACTTTCCCTCTGAATTGATCACTTTTTATTGCTGTGACTGAAGGACCTGGTAGTAATAACTTAGAGGAAGAAAAGTCTATTTGGGGGCTCACAGTTTCAGCGGTTCAGTCCATGATCAGATGATTCCATTGCTCTCAGCCTGGGGTGAGGCCCAACATCATGGAAGGAGGACATGTTGGAGGGAACCTGTTTGGCTCAGGCCAACCAGGCAGCAGAGAGCCAGCAATGGAGGCACCAGGAACAAAGTCTAAAGTCCAATGGCATGCCCCCAATTACCCACTTCCTCCAGCTGTGTCCTACCTGCCTATGGTTGCCAACCCAGTGACCAACTGCTACAACAGTCCTTTCAAATTATTAATCCATCAAATGGATCAATACACTGATTGGGTTACTACTGTCATAATCTAATCATTTATTTCTGATCATGGCTCCATTGTCTCCTGAGCTTTGGGGGGGGGGGCTCATTTTTAAACCATAATACCTTCTGGTCGGCTGGTGCTGGAGGGGCCACAGGCTGTAGGCAATTGGTTTGGAAGTTGAATTAGGAATCCCTGGAATATGGGCTTAGAGAGATATATGGTTTTAAAATACCACTTTACTGAAGTACACTTGGTTTACAAAATACTGCATATATTTCATATATACAATTGATGGGTTTGGACATGGGCCTAACCCCGTGAAACCATCACCACTCAAGGTGACAGGCATATTTATTATCTGAAAGCATCCTTGCGCCCCCTTTTGGTTTTATTGTTGTTAGTCTTGTTCTAAGAGCGTTGAATATGAGATCCTTCCGCCTAACAAATTTTCAAGTACATGACACACTATTACTGTACAGCCATTCTGTAGAACTCTTTCACTTTTCATAACTGACACTTACAACCATTGAATAGGTACTCCCCATTTCTTCCTCTCCATGCCCTGACACCCACCCTTATATCCTCTGCTTCCATGACTTTGACTGTTGAGACACTGCAGACACAGGGAGTGGAGTGGCTGCCCCTCTCTGACCAGCTTCTTTCCCTTAATGTAGAGCCTTGTGGATTCATCCCTGTTGCCATAAATGACCAGTTTCCTTTGTAAGTCCAAGTGGTGGTTTTAGTGTTGGTTTTGTATTGTTGGTATGGCTGCTCATGCAGTTTTGGGTAGAAATACAGCACATTGTGTTGGAAAGTCATGATGATTTGTATTTTTATCTTTGACTCAAATTATCACAGGAGCTGATTCTATTCAGAAGACTGAGCCTCAGTATCATTTTCCTTTATAGACTGAAATGCCTAGTTTTATAGGGAAATGAGTAAAAATTAAAATATCACCTGTGTTTATTCTGTGGGATTACTTCTTGTAGAGAAAATTATCATAGATAACATTTACTGAATGACTGTGACATTTACCTCCATTTTGACTAGTGAGTAAACTGATACATCGAGAAGTTAAATAAATTTTCAATACCATCCAGCTTATGAATGGCAGGGCTTGGATCTAAACCCAGGGACTCAGGTTCTACCTGGTATCTTAAACCCCCATGGAACACTGGCTGTTCATTCTGGCTAAGAAGTCAAAGTCCCCTAAGGTTGAGGTCTTTTGAAACTTAGACAAAGCAGTCAGCTTTTCATGGTCCTCGAGTTTCTCGTTAGATAAATGAAGGCAGATGAGAATTCAGCATTGGTAACTCTGTTATTTAGCTTTCCATTTTTGCTATGACAAAATATCAGAGAAAAAAATAACTTACACAGGGGAAATTTTATTTCGGCTTAAATTTCAGAGGTTTTGGTCATGGTCACTTGGTTCTGTTTTTTCTGGACCCATGGTAAAACAGAAAATCATGATAGGGAATATATCGTAGATCAATGCTCTTGTCTTAAGGCAGCCACAAAGGAGAGGGAGGGAGGGAGGGAGGGAGAGAGAGAGAGAGAGAGAGAAGAGAAGAGAGAGAGAGAGATAAAAGAAAGAAAAGAAAAGAAAAGAAAGAAAGAGAAAGAAAGATAAAGGGGCCAGCAACAAGGCATGCCCCAAAGTCATGGCTTCAAAAACCCACTCCCTTGAACTGGGTGGGTTCCACTTCAGCTATGAATCCTAATGAGATTAATTCACTGATAAGATTAGAGCTCTCATGACCCAGTCACTTCCCAAAAGCCCTACCTGTGAACATTACTGTACTGGGGACAAAGCTTTCAACTCATGAGCCTTTGTGGGACATTTTAGATTGAAACTATAACCATAACCACAGGGTATGACATGACCCTTTGGAAAGCTGTGACACTTTGTCAGGGACTAGAACGGACGCATTTATGCAATCTGCCCATCCATATACACCCTGAATCCTTTTCTCAGCTATTGATTAAATTTCCCTGGTCAAAGAATATTTAAATTTCTTATACATCTAATGCAGTGCTATCTTAACATGAGTTAACTTCTAGTAGTTTGTCAGTGATTTCTCAAAAGGCACAGATTACCACCACAGAGATCCATTAATTGATCATTCAGCATGTGCCTTATGAAGGATCAATTGGAGTGGTGTTATATTTCTTCTGACCTTGCATTTTTGAAGTACTGCTTAAGTCTTTCATTTGAAGACATTTTGTATATAAAAAATGAAATTTAGATGTGTCTGGATGGAGCAATTCTGAAGAAGTTACAGTGTTTACCTAAGGCTAACAAAATAACTTATGTTTTTTTCCAGTAAATGAGATCTAAAAAAAACCCCAACTGCCTCAGTATCAAAATCAATTTGAAAAAGATCTATTATGAAATGAGGTTTCCCAAATAAAATGTAGTTTAACAAGAGGGCTATCACTCTGTCTTCTTTTTATGAGGATACTTTCTATTAGAATGTAAAAATGATGCCATATTTTGAGGCCATACTTAATATGTATCCAACTTGATGACTTTCAAGATCAAAGGATTGACTTTCAATTTAAATGTATGTATTTTTATGCTAAAACAAAGTATCTGGCTGAAAAATATATCAAAAGTCATTTTTTTGTATTCTTTCCATGTCAGGTAAGGAAATTGCAAAGCACACATTCAAAATTGTGTAAGATTTAGTATATACTGGCAAAATGACCCTGTATAGATTTTTCTAAAATGTTCTAGTTCTGTTCTGCCCTTGAGCCAAAATGAATTAATATTTTGGTTCTTCTTTCCGTAAAATGTGGTTGAAAGATTGTTCATTATTGTTGAATTTCAATATGATTGCAAATTAAATGATGCAAAACTCAATAAAGTAAAATACACAAAAGACCAATTAACATGTTTTCTCAGTAAGTATATAGAAGAATGAGAGAACATACTGTTCTACACTGTAGCATATAATTAAGATGTAGTCATAAATCAGGGAAACATTATAACTTGTTTAGGTGCACAGGTGGCTTTTAGAAAGATTGATTAGTTTCTCTTGCCCCCTTGAGATGAGAGTTCATAGTTATTCCTACGAATTTAAACAGAATAATTTCTCAAACTTCCCACAGTATGGGTATGCTTCAGTGCAAACAGCACGTAGGAGATAAATGTTTGCAAAGCCTTCAACTCCTTGTCTGTTTCCATTCCAGATGCTCTCTACGATGTCATCACAGTGGGAGCCCCAGCTGCCCATTTTCAGGGATTTAAGAATGGTGGTCTTCGGAAACTACTGCATAGATTTGAAACAGAAAGAAGAAAGTAAGTAGAGACGGAATTAACAAAACTGTCTTCCCTTTGAGCAAATCTACAACCAAGGTTCAGAAAGATGCTTGGCCCATCATAACCAATAGTCCTTGACAGTTCCAACCCCCTGGGTAACTTCCAAGTTTTCAAATTTCTCCAAAATACTTGAGAAGAAATTAGAGCAAACAAAATATCTGAATGAACTACTTATTGAACATGATGCTGTGCTGGCAGGTAAATCTCCTGGAAGCCATGCCGCTAAGAGGTGACGTTCTAGGACCAACCATGTTCACTCAGGAAATGGCATTCAGAGATTTAGCTGGATAGGTACTGTTTTATGTCTCTACCAGTGATTTCTGCTGTGACCCGAGTCAGGACATATAACTGCCCCATTATTTGATTTTGCAATTTGGAAAGGAGACATCAGAACGAAACTCTAGTGTGAAATTAACTGAGAACACTTCCTGCTCCATGGGGAAAAGGCATGAAACAACAAACAAAGTATTATTACAGTTTATAATTTTATCATGCCTTTGTTAGTCAGATTTTCATGACTCTGAACAAAATATCTGAAAAGAACAACCTAGAGAAGGAAAAGTTTTATCTGTGGCACACAGTTGTAGAGGTTCAGTCTGTGGTTGACTGGCTCTCTTGCTCTGGGAGCATCATGGTAGAAGGGCATGGTGGAGGAACTCAGTCTAGCTAATGGCAGGCAGGAAGCAGAGAGAGAGGAGAGAGAGAAAGAGAAAGAGAGAATGGGAGAATGAATGAATGAATCCAGGTAAAAGATAACGCCTTCCGGGGCATGATTCCAATGACTTACTTCTTCCACCTCCCAGTAGTCCTGTCAGCTGATAAGATCAGAGCCCCTTCTATCCACTCATGGCCTAAAACCCCCTCTCTGAACCTTGCACTGGGGCCCATGCTTTCAACACATGGGCTTTCAGAGGGCATTCCCAATCCAACCCATAGCAATGCCTGTCTCTAATTTTTTAAAGCCACTTTTCCTTATAAAGCTTTTGTATGAATATCCCCCTCCCTCAAGTCCCCCTCCAGTTGAGTTTACTCAGTAATATTCTTTGGTTATGACTACACTTATGGAAGCCCTAAAAAGCATCATGCAGTTATGAAGAGTAACTTTCCTTTTAAAATAGTTACTATCCTTGGATTAAGAACCTAAATTTTAAAAAGTTAGGGGGAAAGAGTCATTTTTTAGTCATAATCATTCAGCAATAGTATTAGAAGATCTATTTGAAGGGCAAAAACAAGCTTTTTTGAAAGTTTGATCACATTTGTCACATAAAACAGCTGTTTTCTGGTGCCCCGATGTTCAGAAAGAAAGCATTTAAAGTCGGTTAGAATTGACTACCTGACTTCCTATTATATAAATGTATAAACTAACATTACATATGTTTTTTATTTTTCTTTTTTAGAAACTGACTTTGGTACAATATGTTTAACTCACCTACAGCCTTTATTGTATTTCTCCAATTTCTTTGTTTTTCTGGTTTTGGTTGAAAAAAATATGTTTCTGAAACTTTTATTACATGTGTAGATTGGAGTAACCTTTGCAATAATTCTACAGAACTATTTCATCAGCATAAATAAACTCCCTCTCTTTCAGTTTTCTGCCCAGTATTCATTCCCTTGCTCCAAACCTTTCTGCTGTAGAAAATAGTTCTATTACCTTCCTGAAGTGGGGAATGGAAGGCAGGGTTCAGCAATAGGCTCTGCAGACAATGGGCATCTCTTATTAACTTTATGGGCGATGGAAGTCAGTCCAAAACACAGACCCTATGAGGAAGGGATGCTAAGTGGAAATGGGAGTGGAAGATAGGTTCTGCACATGGGCTTTATTGAGGGGGGGGGATATTTATTGACTTGGATTTTTGTGGATTTCTCACCCCCAAAACAGACAGGGGTGGTTAAAAGATAAATGATCCATTGGGCTACCCTTTTTCTAGATATTTGGTTTTCTCAGGTGCTATTTTTATTGTTGGTGGTAGCATTTGGCTGCATTGAGAGCTTCTCTGAAATTCAAGTTGGGATGTTTAGGAGGAAAAAAACCTAGAGCTCACTGTCATATCATTTCTAATCCCTAAGGACCTAGCCAACATATTTCCCCTCTACTTCTTAGAGCTTTTTGATGTGACTTATGTATTTTGTCTAGAGTATTTTATTGTGAATATCAGGAGAAGTGAAGTAGATTGTGTTTACTTCATCTTGTGTAAGACTAGAAGTCTCTAAATTGAGAATTGACAATAATTTTGTTTTTTAATCAAATTTCAAAGTGCATAACCTAATTATCAGACTGTCCACAGAGTATCCAGAGTCAATTTTAATGTGAGACATGGAACATAACACTATAGTTTTATAAAATATCACTATACACTTTTAGCAAGTACAAATATTGAGTTGCGTGATTGGACCCTGAATAATATTTCTTGAGTTTTAACTGTATGCATTGATACCTGAATTATTCACTATTTTTTATTTTCTCACTGGGTCTCTAATCTAAACACAAACACATAGAGCTGTAGGATAAATATAAAATAAAAGTAAGAGAAAAGTATGATTGACGTTTGTAAACATTGATTGGTTTCTTACATGTGTTATATATCCCACTGTTTTCCTAATTATTTACAAAATTAAACAAATCACTTGAAAATTAACAGCGTGGATCTTAGCACACCTCTCCATAGGGTAGTATATGGGTCAGATTTGACATGCTGAGGCAATACAGAGGCGACATGGTATTGGCCTGTTTGTTAAGTTAAAAGTTAACCTGAGCAAAGAAGTAATACCTAAAGTGGGTGCACCATGAAAGTGCTTTTTCTGGAGCCCCTTTTAGCAGCCAATACTGCATTAGTCAGTCAAAGACAATGTGGCAAAGTAAACCTGACTATATAAAATGAGTAGATCACACTTAAAGTGAAAAACTACATAATGAAGGTCAGAGAATCACCTGAAGTGAAAGATATATATATATATGTATACTTTTTTTTGCCTCTTTTTCCTGTGATGACTGCCCCAAAAGACACTCAGATCTTTTAAGCCTTGTTTTTGAAGGATCCACCACCACCATTGTGCTATTTCACCTTCATTTATTTTCTTCTCAGCTAAGCTAAAGAAATATTGTCATCTGAGAACAGAAGTAATTTATGTTTCTATTCCTTAGTGGTCTATTTTTTTGATGAATACATTGACCACATAATGGAGCGGGTTTAGCATAAGAAAAACCTTCCTTATGGTATTCATATAATGTAAGTCAGATCACGTACAAACATATTTTTAAAAGCTACAAGATAATTAGGAAGATTGATCTTCTTAAAGCACACGTATCTGAGTGCGTTTCTCTGGTGCTCCAAAGCCTTGAAGGAGTCCATGTTCGTCCATCCACCAGGCATTCAGAGCCTCCATGGTTTCACCCCATAGACTTTCCGCCTTCATCTCTTCCTTCTCCTGTGTTTGCTTCTTAAATGCTCTGCAAACTATTGTGGGCTTCACACGTTCCCACCTCTTCTCCTTTCCTTGTTCTGAATGTGTGCGCGCACACACACACACACACACACATACACACACTCACACACACTCACACACACTCACACACACACACATACAGAGAGAGAGAGAGAGAGAGAGAGAGAGAGAGAGACAAAATCTGTTCTTCTCTTCATCTCCATACTATTTTCCTTTTCCTTCCCTCAAAACCATATAAGTAACCCAATTCAAAATTATACAGCTGATTTAGCCTAATATTCTGCCTTCATCATTAGGCCTTCCTGATTTTTCAAGTTGATTTGATTCTCTCATATTTTATTTTTACTTCCTTTGTAGCTTTATTTACAAGGACAGAGAAATGGCATATTTTTTTATTGCCTGGTATTTTTCTAATAGGTTGTCTTCTCTTTGAATAATAAATAGTGGTCTTGAGTTTTGGATCTTTCAGAATGCCCTACAAAGCATTTTGTATATGACTTTTGGGTAGATCAAGGTCAACAGGTGTTGGAATTCACATATGAATCAGATATAGTCTCAGACTTCAAAGTGCAGAAAGCTCCAGGGGTAGGAAAAATGTCACAAATATTATAATGCAGTAAGATCAATAACGTACAGGCAAGAGGTTCTCAACCTTGTTGCCATATCAGAACCACCTTTGCAGCTTTGAATGATTTCATCTGTGACACAATATCACCCCAGACAAATTAAATCAAAGTTTTTTGGAAGGGGCCCAGGCATTGGTATGTTTTAAAAGCTTCCCAGGTGAGTAATTTGAAGCCAGGGTGCAAACCAATGATTGAACTGAAAATGAACAGTTCTGTGGTAACACAGATGGAGGGTGTGGAGGAAGGAAATGGGAATAGCTACACCGGTGAGTTGAACTGGAGAACCACACAGACCCCTCCTGAAACAAAAACTAAGAAGGAAGGTTTGCTGAACTAAAGAAGAAGGGTACTATTACTCACTTACTGGAAATCTGCATTCAGAGAATCCCAACTCATTAGACAGTTGCAAAATGGAACCAAACTGAGAATAAAGGTGTAATAATTTCAAAGTGGGAAAACTTGGTCCTGAGTAGCACAAATAAAATCAAACATATTATAAAGGTTTTTATGTTACAAACTTGAGACTTTTTTAGTAGAACCAAAACCCTAATTACACGTGCATTTGTTTAAAAGACCCATTCAGTATATTCGTAACCTATGTATTCACTTGTAATATCAAATGTCTACAATTTGGGGGTGTTTTAGTCAGTTTTTCATCATTCTGACCAAAAGACCTGACGACAGTAACATAGAGGAGGAAAAGTTTATTTGGGCTGTTAGTTCTAGAGGTTGACTCCATCCATGATCAGCCAACTCCATCCCATATCTCTGAGCCCAAGGTGAGGAAGAATACCATGGCACAAGGGCCTGGTGACCAGGACACAAGGAAAGCTTCACTCATCAAAGACAAATTATAAAACCCAAGGCACAACCACAGTGACCAACTTCCTCCAACCACATCTAACCTGC